GAGACTAGGCTTGTCTGACTTTAGAATTTACTTCTACTGTATTTGTAAATCTCTGTATATAGAAATTTTATCGTATTATAAATTTTACTGTACGTGTGAAAAATCTTTTAACTCATCTGTGTAGTGTCTGCTGCTATCATCATAATACTATAATACAACCTATTGGCTTCTATGTAGAGATTAGAAATAATTTTGGAAAATTTTGATTAAATTTGTGCTTAATTGTTGCTGAAAACTTGAAGATATAGTCATGTATTTCATTTGTGATAATCTTTAAAGCTTTAGATTATGTAACTAAAAGCGCATTTTACTTCTCAGAAGACCATAGTTTGCTTCAGTAGTTCCAAATGACTTGAAGAACTGATTCAGAGACTTAACAGATGCAGTCTAATGTAGAGAAATTGCTGAAAACACAGTTAAATTGCCAGAGTATACCAGAGGCAACAATTTCCTTAATTTTTGTCAAACACACAATTTGAAATGATTATATGCTTGCAAAAACAAACAGATAAAGTATTTTACAGTCTGTAGTTTCATATTCATACATCTCAAGGTTGAAATTTTAATATGATAAACAATATTATAATCTAATATATAAAATTAAGATAATCTTAATTTTCTACTAATTGAATACAGATCAGACACCTAATCCATTTTCTGTTAGTATTTGCATGTCTAGTGGTGTGTTTATTACTGTTTTTCAAGATTTTATTTTATGGACCTTCCTTTGTTGGTTGTTTATTCAAGAGTGATTAGTAAAAACCAGCACAGGGTAAATTGGCAAAGGCTGGAGTTCTGATCTACAATAAGAAGTGGTTTTATTTCACATAACATTTTTGAACTGAAGAGAGGAAAAAACTGTTAGAAAAAAAGAGATTTGGATACAGGGATTGAAAACAATGGTATGGAGTGGCACTGTGGCGTAGTTGGCTAAGCTTCCACCTGTGGCACCAGCATCCCATATGGGCATCAGTTCATGTCCAGGCTGTTTCTCTTACAATCCAGCTCTCTGCTAGTGGCCTGGGAAAGCAGTGGAATTGGCCCAAGTGCTTGCTCCCCTGCCACCTGCATAGGAGGTCCGAAAGTACCTCCTGTCTCCTGGCTTCGAATGGGCCCAGCTCCATCATTGCAGCCATTTGGAGAGTGAACCAGTGGATGGAAGTCCTGTCTGTCTCTCCCTCTCACTGTCTCTAACTCTACCTCTCAAATGAATAAATGGATTAAAAAAAAAAAAAAGTGGTTCTTCAGAGTCATTAGAGGAGCACAAATGAACCACTTTTTTTTTTTTTTTTCCCTGAAAGAGTTACAGAGAGAGGTAGAACCAGAGAGAGATTTCCTCCATTCTGCTGGTTCACTCCCCGAATGACTGCAATGGCCAAAGCTGAGCTGATCTGAAGCCAGGAGCCAGGAACTTCCTCCGGGTCTCCCATGCGGGTACAGGGGCCCAAGGACTTGGGCCATCCTCCACTGCTTTCCCAGGCCGCAGCAGAGAGCTGGATCAGAAGAGGAGCCACCACAACTCGAACCGGTGCCCATATGGGATACCAGCGCTGCAGCCTGGGGCTTTAACCTGTTGCACCACAACGCCGGCCCCATGAGTCACTTTTGATTGCCTTCTTGGAGCCTCAGGGCTCATAGAGGTCATGTTCCTGAAAATACTGTTTATTTCTCTTCAAATTTAGTAATTAGAAATGTAAAAGTTTTATGAATTTATGGGTTAGGAACATCTGACTGTTAATTATCTGAGTTTTTGGAGGACTATTTAAGTATAACATGTTATTGGCATCAGCCTTTTACTCCCAAATTGCAAATTGAAGACACTACAAATTAAGTCCTTTTAACATAACATGAAATATTTAATTGCGTAAATTATTAATGTTTTGGACAGTTATTCATCTCTAACTTTGAGGTATGCTAATGGTTTCTGGATGAAGGATATGTGGCTTAAAAAGATTTTGACATCCCTGAAACAAGGGAACTCATCTGGGTTGGTTTTCCCACTTCATTGGTAAGATTCTGGGGGCATCTGCCCCTTCCACCAGGGGAACAGAAGGGATACCACTTGAGAGTGATGGTTATCATGATGATAGTAGCTAACATTTATTGAGCAATTATCATTTGGTAGGCACTGTGCTATGAAATTTAGATTTTTTTATGATAAGAGCAGAATAAAAACATTGATTAATTATACTACATAAAACTTTGGAGAAGATATTGTGGTGCAGTGGGTTAAGCTACCACTTGGGATACCTGCATCCCATATTGACATGTTGGTTCAAGTCTTGTCACCTGCATTCCTGGTCCATCTCTCTGCTAATGAATCCTAGGAAGCAGTAGATGATGATTGAAGTGCTTGGGTTCCTGCTACCCATGTAGGAGGCCCAAATGGAATTCTGAGCCTCAAGCTCAGCCTGGCCCAGCCCCATCTACTGCAGGCATTTGGAAAGTGAACATGTGGATGGCAGCTCTTTCCTCTCTCTTTGTCCTGTCACTCTGCCTTTCAAGTAGATGAAAATAAACTTTTTTCTAAAACTGTATAACTTGAAACCTAATTATTAGGACCTTAGTTAACAATTTATGGACATATATTGAGAACCACAGTTTTAGTATTCATTGGTGGTCATATATATGAATTACTAAGGACTATAAAATTTTTGAGGTTCAGTGACTGTAAGGTGATAGTTATAGTGACTTAGAAGATGTTAATGAAGTTTATAAAAAGAAAGAGGAGGTCAATCTTGATAACATTGCAGTGACCAGAAAATCTGTATAGATACGCAATGAAGTAACTGTTAGGTCAAATGTGATTGGCAAATCTGTAGATTATTTTTATAAAATGTCCAAGTAATGAATAGAATCCTCAGGGCAGAATTCACTAACCTAATATTTTACAGTCCCCATTGAAATTGTATGCAAAGTAAATTTATACATTTGTATGCATGTTAATTTTCATTAGATTCTCAGTGGGATCTGTGAGCAGACAGCCCCAGTTCAAAGTGTTAAGGCATCTCTTGGCTGAGGTGACTAAAATGGCGCCCCTTAGAGAGGCACAATTAGAAGACTATTAAAAAACACTAGCAATGTCCAGCTAAAAATAATGCAGATCAAAGATGAGATTGTTTAGATTAATTCTATGAAGGAATGAGTGTAGCAAAAGAAAGGCAAAGTGGGTCCAATGCTGTGGCGTACCAGGTAAAGCTGCTACCTGCAGTGCTGGCATCCCTTGTGGGCGCTGGTTCGAGTCCCTCCTGCTGTACTTCGGAACATCCAGCTCTCTGCTATGGCCCGGGAAAGCAGTAGAAGTTGGCTCAAGTCCTTAGGCCCCTGCACTTGCATGGGAGACCCAGAAGAAGCTCTTGCTCCTGGCTTCGCATCACCCCAGCTCCAGCCATTGCAGCCATTTAGGGAGTGAACCTGTGCATGGAAGACCTCTCTCTTGCTCTCGTTCTCTTTCTCTTTCTGCCTCTCTGCCTTTCCAATAAGTAAATAAATCTTTAAAAAAAAAAAAAAAAGAAAAAGAAAAGCAAAGACAAAGGCCCACATTAGGTAATAGTAGTTTTATGGAGTGAGCAGAGAAAGAAGTACCTGTTGGTGAAAGGAATGGAAGAGAACCACAGAAATACAGAATCAATAGGGAGAGGTGTTTATTTCAGAGACCAAGTAAGAGCTAAATATAATTGAGAGGTCATTTAAAAAAATGATAACTGGGAAAAGGTAATGATTTTAGCCTAACAGAGTTGCTAATAACTTTAAAGCAGTTTCAGTTGTCGTGAAACATAGAAACCTTATTACAAGGCCCAAATACAGAGTGGTTAGGAAAGAAAGGTAGCCTAATATAACAACACCAATAGTGTGATAATTGAAAATAATCGCAGCAAACTTTCTGAGAACTTTTGTATGTCAGTCATTAACCAGAGTTTTTATTTTCTTTTTTGATTGAATTTTTTTTTCATTTAATCTTTACATAACCTTGTAAGATAGATTCTATTATTACCTTTATTTTGGGGTTAGCATATTGAGGATTCAGGAGGTCAAGGTCCCCTAACCAGCAAGTGTGAAAACAAAAATTGAACCCAGACATTCTGATTCCTCAGCCTTCATTGGAAGCCCCATTTTAAATGTTAAAAATATCTACAGGAGCAGGCTTTTTGCCTAGCAATTAAGACGCCAGTTGGAACACCCACGTCTCAACTCAAAGTACCTGAGTTCAGTTCCTGCCACCAGCTCCTGATTTCAGCTTCCTGCTAATATGGATCCTGGGAGGCAGCAGTAAAGGTTCAGAAAATTACATGGCTGCCACCCCACCCATGTGGAAGACCTGGATTGAATTTCTAGCTCTTTGCTTTGGCCTAGCTCAGACCTGGCCATTGCAGGTATTTGTAGAGCAAGCTAACAGAAGGGTGCTGTCTGTCTCTCTGTGTCTCAAATAAGTAAATAATTTTAAAAAGCTATTTAAGTATCTACAGTGCTGAAAAAAGCATGTGGCAGGGCCAGCATTATGGCACAGTGGGTCAGGTTACCACTTGTTACGCCAGCATCCCATGTTGGAGTGCCGCTTCAGATCCAGCTGTCTGCTGGTGTGCCTGGGAAGGCAGTGAAAGATGGCCCAAGGTTTGGGGCCTCTGCCACCAGGCTCCTAGATTTGACCTGTCACAGCTCTGGCTGTTGGAAGCATTTGCAGAGTGAACCGAAGGATGGAAGATCAATCAATTAATTTATCTCTCTTTCTCTCTGCCTTTGAAATAAAGTGAAAATAAATTTTTAAAGAATTTTGAATTGTTTTAGGTGTGGACTGTCACCATTCATCTGGACTCCACTGAAGTATGATTGGAATTATTTCTCCAAAAGCAAGAAACTTGGAAAACAGGATGTTATTTGAACACTAATCCTTGTTTATTAAAAATTAATAAATAGAAGCTTTTTGAGGAAAATAAATCCCTCAGTACGAATAGTAAAGTTATTATACTTTGGTGAGTAATTCTAAATTCTCTCTTTCACAGATTATCTTGCTAATCATGGACGATTAAATGAGTCTGAAGCCAGGCGAAAATTCTGGCAGATCCTCTCTGCTGTTGATTATTGTCATAGTCGAAAGATTGTGCATCGTGACCTCAAGGCTGAAAACCTCCTGCTGGATAACAACATGAATATCAAAATAGCAGGTAACTGGGACACAGCTGTCACATGATCTAATGTAAGCCATCACACTCAGTGTGGAAACGCACCCTCAAGTACAGAGTCAGGGGGCACTTCTACCTGATGACATCAAGCTTTCTCAAAGTACGCCTATGTGTAATTAAAAGTAAGAGAAGTAAATTCATTATTCATATACACAGCGGCAGGACTATACCTGAAGTTTGGTTGGTGTCCAGGTCCCTTGGGGTGGAGGGAGCTCTGCTTAAAGAGGTACATTTGTTGGAATATAAATGTGATTAGAGGGTGGGTAGGCTAGAGGAGCAGCGCAGGTTGCTGGTACTCTGACCTGCTCTCAGTTATAGCTGTTGGTAACAGTGAGTCACAGACAAAAGAAAGATGAAGTAAGATGAGAAATAATCTGAGACGTAAAAGTACCTTGCCTTGCTCTGATGAACTCTTTTCAGACTTCATCTAAAACATGGAAACTAGAGTTAGAGATTATTTCCTTTGTTTTCTTCCCACCATCTACACAATTGTAAAGATTATTTCTTTTCTATTCTGAATGTTCTCTTCACAAAGTCAAAAGTGACTCATTCAATAAATATTTATGTATTGAACTCTATACCATACCAAATACAATGCTTTGATATGTGGAAAGGATTTCCCAGTGTATAGCAAAACAACATTGTACACCCTGAATTTATACAGTTTTTATTTGTCAGAGCTGGAAAAATGCAGTAATTAGTTGCCACAAAAAAGTCTCCACAGACTGTAGTGGCAGTGTAGTTAAAAGAACATTTTCTACCTGAGAAGTTGAGGAAACTTCAGAGAAGGAACTATTTGAACTTTGGCTTCAGGGATGAGGTGTTTTTTTTTTTTTGTTTGGTTGGTTTTTTTAAGATTTTATTTATTTATTTGAGAGGTAGAGTTACAGACAGTGAGAGGGAGAGACAGAGAGAAGATTTTCCATCCGCTGGTTTACTCTCCCAAATGGCTGTAACGGCTGGAACTGGGCCTATGCAAAACCAGGAGCAGGAGCTTCTTCGGATCTCCTATGTGGTGCAGGGGCCCAAGTGCTTGGGTCATCTTCTACTGCTTTCCCAGGCTATAGCAGAGAGCTGAAGAGGAGCAGCTGGAGCTAGAACAGGCACCATAGGTAGAGGATTAACCTACTGCACTACAGTGCCGGCCCCTGTTTTTTTTTGTTTTGTTTTGTTTTTAAGATTTATTTATTTACTTATTATGCTTGAAAGGTAGAGTTATAGACAGAGGGGGAGAGACAGAGTAATCTTCTATCCACTTGTTCACCCTCCAAATGAATGCATTGGCCAGAACTGGGCCAGACTGAAGCCAGGAGCTTCTTCTAGGTCTCCCACATGGGTGCAGGGGCTCAAAGACTTGGGCCATCTTCCACTGCTTTCCCAGAGGCATTAGTAGATAGCTGGACCGGAAGTAGAGCAGCCAGGTCTTAAACCAGTGCCCATATGGGATGCTGGTGCTGCAGACGATGGCATTACCTGCTGTGCCACAGCACTGGCCCCTCAGAGATGAGTTAAAAGCTTGCCAGAAGTAGGATGGTGCAGGCAATTAGAGATTGAGATGTTGGGGAACTGTAGCTTGACATTGGTTAAATGTAAAATCTTTAGGCATAGGATACTGCTACCAGAGGGACTACAGGTTTTTAAACCTCTTTTATTTGAGAGAGAGCGAGCTCCCATCCACTGATTCACTCCCACAAATGCCTGCAATGGCCAAAGCCAGGAGCCAGGAATTCAATCCAGATTTCCCACATGGATGGTGGGAACCTAACTACTTGAACCATCACCTATTACTTTCCAGGGTACACATTAGCAGGAAGCTGAAGCCAGATGTGAAACTCAGTTACTCCAGTGTGAGACATGAGCATCTTATGCCATCCTTTTTTTTTTTTTTTTTAAAGATTTGTTATTTGAAATGCATAGTTACAAAAAAAGGGAGAGAGAGGAAGAGACAGAGAGATCTTCCATCTGCTGGTTCACTCCCCAAATGGCCACAAGGGCCAGAGCTGGGGCAGTCCAAAGTCAGGAGCCAGGAGCTTCTTCAGGGTCTCCCATGTAGGTACAGGGGTCCAAGCACCTGGGCCATCCTCTGCTGCTTTCCCAGGCACATTAGCAGGGAGCTGGATTGGAAATGGGGCAGCTGAGACGAACTGGCACCCATATGGGATACCAGCACAGCAGGCAATAGCTTTACCTGATAGGCCATGGTGCCTGCCCATTTATACCATTTCTTAACCTCTAGGCCCAGCTCTGATTAAAAGCCTGGGTTAAAAGCTTAGCAGAGTTACAAGTGGTGATGTTTCATTCTACACTTTTGGAAGGGAGGCAAGCAGACCCCCAGGTGAGAGAAGCTAACCAAGGAATTATGTGTGACTAGCTGTGTTGGATACTTACTGAACTCAGTAAGTTTAGGGAGGACGTAGTCAGCCTTGGTTTCCTGTACTATGGTATAAATATAAATTTAAGCCTTTGATTTGTGCATTGAACTAACTTATTTCTATGCCAGTTCCCTTAGTTTTTGTCTTGTGCATTTAGGGGAAGGTAAATAACGTTTACTCATTTTCTTTTAAAGTCAGTGTCATGTATGTTATAGGACATCTTGTGGATTTTGAATTTTGTAATTTGTGATTTTCTTTTAAGATTTATCTATTTATTGGAAAGTCAGAGTTAGAGAGGGAGAGTTCCTCCATCTGCTGGTTCACTCCCAGATGGCTGCAATGGCCAGAACTGGAGCGATCTGAAGCCAGGAGCCAGAGCTTCTTCTGGGTCTCCCACATGGGTGCAGGAGCCCAAGGACATGGGCCATCTTCCACTGCTTTTCCAGTGAGCTGGGTCAGAAGAAGAGCAGCCAGGACTTGAACCATCACCCATATATGTTGCCAGCACTGCAGGCAGTGGCTTAAGCCACTATGCCACAGCGCCAACCCCATGTGATTTTCTCCCCCACCCCCAGAAACCTTTTATTTAAGGAATACTAACTTCATGCTTTTCATAAATACAAGTTTAGGAATTTAATGATTCTTCCCACCGTACCTGCCCTCCCATCCACATTCCCACCCTTCTTCCTCATCCCTCTCCTATTCCCATTCTTACTTTTTACTAAGATCTACTTTCAGTTAACTTTATACACATACAGTTAACTCTATACTAAGTAAAGAGTTCAACAAATTGTATAAAAAAAAAGTTCCTCAATAATCAAGGCAAGGGATATTCAAAGTCATTGCATCTCGAAGCGTTAATTTGACTTCTATAGATTTTTTTTTTTAGGATATATTTATTTATTTGAAAGTCAGAGTTACATAGAGAGAGAAGGTGAGGCGGGCGGCAGGGGGACTTCCAGCCGCTGGTTCACTCCCCAGTTGGCTGCAATGGCCGGAGCTGTGCCAATCCATAGCCAGGGGCCCAAGGACTTGAGCCATTTTCTACTGCTTTCCCAGGCCACAGCAGAGAGCTGGATCAGAAGTGGAGCAGCCAGGACTCAAACTGCTCTGTTAGTTACCATAAATCAAGGAAAACATATGATATTTGTCCTTTTGGTACTGGCTTATTTCACTAAATATGATGTTTTCTGGTTTCATCCATTTTGTTGGAAACAACAGGATGTCTTTTTTTTATTATTAATGCTGTGTAGTATTCCATAATGTATATATTCCATAATTTCTTTATCTAGTCTTCGGTTGACAGGCATTTGGGTTGATTCCATATCTTAGCTATTGTGAATTGAGGTGAAATAAACATAGGGATACAGATAACTCTTTGTATGTTGATTTCATTTCCCTTGGGTAAATTCCCAGTAGTGGGATGGCTGGGTCATGTGGAAGGTCTATATTCAAGTTTCTGAGGTATCTCCATACTGTCTTCCACATTGGCTGTACCAGTTTACATCCTACCAACAGTAGATTAGGGTACCTTTTTCCCCACTTTCTCACCAGCATTTGTTGTTTGTTGATTTCTGTATAAAAGCCATTCTAACTGGGGTAAGATGAAACCTCATTATAGTTTTGATTTACATTTCCCTGACAGCTAGTGATCCTCAGCATTTTTTCATGTGTCTGTTGGCCATTTGGATTTCCTCTTTTGAAAACTGACTGTTTAAGTCCTTTGCCCATTTCTTAACTAGGTTGTTTGTTTTGTTGTTGTTGAGTTTTTATCTCTTCATATATTTTGGATATTAATCTTTTATTAGTTCCGTTGTTTGCAAATATTTTCTCCCCTTCTGCTTCTTCACTTTACTGAGTGTTTCTTTTGCTGTACAGAAGCTTCTCAATTTGATGTGATACCATTTGTCAATTTTGGTTTTGATTGCCTGTGCTTCTGGGGTCTTTTCCAAGAACTCTTTACCTATGCCAGTGTCTTACAGGATTTCCCCAGTGTTCTCTAGTAATTTGATTGTATTGCATCTAGATTTAGGTCTTTAATCCATTTTGAGTACATTTTTGTGTAAGGTGTAAGGTAGGGGTCTTGCTTTCTACTGCTACATGTGGAGATCCAGTTTTCCCAGCACCATATGTTGAAGTGACTGCGCTTGCTGCAGGGATTGATTATAGCTCCATTGTCAAAGATAAGTGGGTTGTAGATGTGTGGTTTGATTTCTGGTGTTTCTATTCTTTTCCATTGATCTAACCATCTGTTTTTGCACCACTGCCAGCCTGTTTAGATTATAACTATCCGGTAGTATGTCTCGAAATCTGGTATTGTGATGCCTCTGCCTTTGTTTTTGCTCTTTAAGATTGCTTTAGCTATTCAGGTTCTCTAATGTTTCCATATGAATTTCACCATTTTTTTCTATATCTGTAAAGAATGTTGTTGGTATTGTGATTGGGATCACATTGAATCTGTAAAGTACTTTCAGTAGTATGGACATTTTGATGATATTGATTCTAAACTGTAAAGAAAGAAAGAGAAGAAGATACAAAATAATGGAAAAATCTTCTATGTTCATGGATTGGAAGAATCAGTCAATTGCTTGGATAGCTCAGGAAAATTGG